TCCTTACTTCAGCTTTCTTCTGCTTCCTTCCTCCATTTTTATTCTTTTTTCTCTCTTGTTCTGTTTCTTCCTTTCCCCTTTCTGTAATTTCTTCCTCTTTTCCACACCTTCCTTCTTCCTCTCCACTCTTTCCTTCCTCCCCTCCGTTCCTTCCTCCTCTTCTCCCCTTCCTTCCTTCCTTCTTCCTCCTCTCTCCTTCCTTCCTTCCTTCCTCCCTCCACCTCTCTCCTTCCTCCCCGTCGTTCCTTCTTCCTCTTCTCTCCTTCTTTCCTTCCTCCCCTTCTCTCCTTCCTTTCTTCCTTCCTTCCTCCCCTTCTCTCCTTCCTTCCTTCCTTCCTCCCCTTCTCTCCTTCCTCTTCTTCCTTCCTTCCTTCCTCCCCTTCTCTCCTTCCTTCCTTCCTCCCCTTCTCTCCTTCCTTCCTTCCTTCCTTCCTCCCCTTCTCTCCTTCCTTCCTTCCTTCCTCCCCTTCTCTCCTTCCTCTTCTTCCTTCCTTCCTTCCTCCCCTTCTCTCCTTCCTTCCTTCCTCCCCTTCTCTCCTTCCTTCCTTCCTTCCTTCCTCCCCTTCTCTCCTTCCTTCCTTCCTTCCTCCCCTTCTCTCCTTCCTTCCTTCCTCCCCTTCTCTCCTTCCTTCCTTCTTCCTCCCCTTCTCTCCTTCCTTCCTTCCTCCCCTTCTCTCCTTCCTTCCTTCTTCCTCCCCTTCTCTCCTTCCTTCCTTCCTTCCTCCCCTTCTCTCCTTCCTTCCTTCCTTCCTTCCTCCCCTTCTCTCCTTCCTTCCTTCCTCCCCTTCTCTCCTTCCTTCCTTCCTCCCCTTCTCTCCTTCTCTCCTTCCTTCCTCCCTTCCTCCCCTTCTCTCCTTCCTTCCTTCCTCCCCTTCTCTCCTTCCTTCCTTCCTTCCTCCCCTTCTCTCCTTCCTTCCTTCCTTCCTCCCCTTCTCTCCTTCCTTCCTTCCTTCCTCCCCTTCTCTCCTTCCTTCCTCCCTTCCTCCCCTTCTCTCCTTCCTTCCTTCCTTCCTTCCTCCCCTTCTCTCCTCCCTTCCTTCCTTCCTTCCTCCCCTTCTCTCCTTCCTTCCTTCCTTCCTCCCCTTCTCTCCTTCCTTCCTTCCTTCCTCCCCTTCTCTCCTTCCTCCCCGTCGTTCCTTCTTCCTCCTCCTTTCTCCTTCCTTCCTCCCTTCCTCCCCTTCTCTCCTTCCTTCCTTCCTTCCTTCCTCCCCTTCTCTCCTTCCTTCCTTCCTTCTTCCTCCTCTCTCCTTCCTTCCTTCCTCCCCTTCTCTCCTTCCTTCCTTCCTTCCTCCCCTTCTCTCCTTCCTTCCTTCCTTCCTTCCTCCCCTTCTCTCCTTCCTTCCTTCCTCCCTTCCTCCCCTTCTCTCCTTCCTTCCTTCCTTCCTCCCCTTCTCTCCTTCCTTCCTTCCTTCCTTCCTCCCCTTCTCTCCTTCCTTCCTTCCTTCCTTCCTCCCCTTCTCTCCTTCCTTCCTTCCTCCCTTCCTCCCCTTCTCTCCTTCCTTCCTTCCTTCCTTCCTCCCCTTCTCTCCTTCCTTCCTTCCTTCCTCCCCTTCTCTCCTTCCTTCCTTCCTTCTTCCTCCTCTCTCCTTCCTTCCTTCCTTCCTCCCCTTCTCTCCTTCCTTCCTTCCTTCTTCCTCCTCTCTCCTTCCTTCCTTCCTCCCCTTCTCTCCTTCCTTCCTTCCTTCCTCCCCTTCTCTCCTTCCTTCCTTCCTTCCTCCCCTTCTCTCCTTCCTTCCTTCCTTCCTTCCTCCCCTTCTCTCCTTCCTTCCTTCCTCCCTTCCTCCCCTTCTCTCCTTCCTTCCTTCCTTCCTTCCTCCCCTTCTCTCCTTCCTTCCTTCCTCCCTTCCTCCCCTTCTCTCCTTCCTTCCTTCCTTCCTCCCCTTCTCTCCTTCCTTCCTTCCTTCCTCCCCTTCTCTCCTTCCTTCCTTCCTTCCTTCCTCCCCTTCTCTCCTTCCTTCCTTCCTTCCTCCCCTCCTCTCCTTCCTTCCTTCCTTCCTTCCTCCTCTCTCCTTCCTTCCTTCCTTCCTCCCCTTCTCTCCTTCCTTCCTCCCTTCCTCCCCTTCTCTCCTTCCTTCCTTCCTTCCTCCCCTTCTCTCCTTCCTTCCTTCCTTCCTTCCTCCCCTTCTCTCCTTCCTTCCTTCCTCCCCTTCTCTCCTTCTCTCCTTCCTTCCTTCTTCCTCCTCTCTCCTTCCTTCCTTCCTTCCTCCCCTTCTCTCCTTCCTTCCTTCCTTCTTCCTCCTCTCTCCTTCCTTCCTTCCTCCCCTTCTCTCCTTCCTTCCTTCCTTCCTCCCCTTCTCTCCTTCCTTCCTTCCTTCCTTCCTCCCCTTCTCTCCTTCCTTCCTTCCTCCCTTCCTCCCCTTCTCTCCTTCCTTCCTTCCTTCCTCCCCTTCTCTCCTTCCTTCCTTCCTTCCTTCCTCCCCTTCTCTCCTTCCTTCCTTCCTTCCTTCCTCCCCTTCTCTCCTTCCTTCCTTCCTCCCTTCCTCCCCTTCTCTCCTTCCTTCCTTCCTTCCTTCCTCCCCTTCTCTCCTTCCTTCCTTCCTTCCTCCCCTTCTCTCCTTCCTTCCTTCCTTCTTCCTCCTCTCTCCTTCCTTCCTTCCTTCCTCCCCTTCTCTCCTTCCTTCCTTCCTTCTTCCTCCTCTCTCCTTCCTTCCTTCCTCCCCTTCTCTCCTTCCTTCCTTCCTTCCTCCCCTTCTCTCCTTCCTCCCCGTCGTTCCTTCTTCCTCCTCCTTTCTCCTTCCTTCCTCCCTTCCTCCCCTTCTCTCCTTCCTTCCTTCCTCCCTTCCTCCCTTCCTCCCCTTCTCTCCTTCCTTCCTCCCTTCCTCCCCTTCTCTCCTTCCTTCCTTCCTTCTTCCTCCTCTCTCCTTCCTTCCTCCCTTCCTCCCCTTCTCTCCTTCCTTCCTTCCTTCCTTCCTCCCCTTCTCTCCTTCCTTCCTTCCTCCCTTCCTCCCCTTCTCTCCTTCCTTCCTTCCTCCCTTCCTCCCCTTCTCTCCTTCCTTCCTTCCTTCTTCCTCCTCTCTCCTTCCTTCCTCCCTTCCTCCCCTTCTCTCCTTCCTTCCTCCCTTCCTCCCCTTCTCTCCTTCCTTCCTTCCTTCCTCCCCTTCTCTCCTTCCTCCCCGTCGTTCCTTCTTCCTCCTCCTTTCTCCTTCCTTCCTCCCTTCCTCCCCTTCTCTCCTTCCTTCCTTCCTTCCTTCCTCCCCTTCTCTCCTTCCTTCCTTCCTTCTTCCTCCTCTCTCCTTCCTTCCTTCCTCCCCTTCTCTCCTTCCTTCCTTCCTTCCTCCCCTTCTCTCCTTCCTTCCTTCCTTCCTCCCCTTCTCTCCTTCCTTCCTTCCTTCCTTCCTCCTCTCTCCTTCCTTCCTTCCTTCCTCCCCTTCTCTCCTTCCTTCCTCCCTTCCTCCCCTTCTCTCCTTCCTTCCTTCCTTCCTCCCCTTCTCTCCTTCCTTCCTTCCTTCCTCCCCTTCTCTCCTTCCTTCCTTCCTTCCTTCCTCCCCTTCTCTCCTTCCTTCCTTCCTTCCTCCCCTTCTCTCCTTCCTTCCTTCCTTCCTCCCCTTCTCTCCTTCCTTCCTTCCTTCCTTCCTCCCCTTCTCTCCTTCCTTCCTTCCTTCCTCCCCTTCTCTCCTTCCTTCCTTCCTTCCTTCCTCCCCTTCTCTCCTTCCTTCCTTCCTTCCTCCCCTTCTCTCCTTCCTTCCTTCCTCCCTCCCCTTCTCTCCTTCCTTCCTTCCTTCCTTCCTCCCCTTCTCTCCTTCCTTCCTTCCTTCCTCCCCTTCTCTCCTTCCTTCCTTCCTTCCTCCCCTTCTCTCCTTCCTTCCTTCCTTCCTCCCCTTCTCTCCTTCCTTCCTTCCTTCCTCCCCTTCTCTCCTTCCTTCCTTCCTTCCTTCCTCCCCTTCTCTCCTTCCTTCCTTCCTTCCTCCCCTTCTCTCCTTCCTTCCTTCCTTCCTCCCCTTCTCTCCTTCCTTCCTTCCTCCCTCCCCTTCTCTCCTTCCTTCCTTCCTTCCTTCCTCCCCTTCTCTCCTTCCTTCCTTCCTTCCTCCCCTTCTCTCCTTCCTTCCTTCCTCCCTCCACCTCTGTCCTTCCTCCCTCCCTCCCCTTCTCTCCTTCCTCCCTTCCTTCCTTCCTCCTCGGGCTTCGCAACAGGAGAAATCCCGCGACGCCCGAAGAGGAGCAGATGACGCCAGGCGGAGAAATTTTTTATTTTCTCTTCCCTTTAATTGTCCCTCTCGTCGCTCCCTCACTCTCTCTCCGTTATCTGGCTGTCTGTCTCTAATCTTAGTTCTTTTTCTCTCTCTCTCTGTCTTCCTCTTTCTCCTTTACCTATTTTCTCTTTCTTTATTTGTCTATGTTCGTGTCTCTCTCTCTCTCTCTAATGCTGGTAAAAAACTTTGTTTTTTTTTCTGCCTTCCTCTCTTTCCGTCATTCATTCTCTCTCTCTTTATTCATCTATGTTTGTGTCTCCCCTCCCCCCCTCCCTTAATGCTGGGCTCTTAACCTAATTTATGTCACGGATTAGCAGTCCTCCCGAAGAAGCTTCTCGATTTGAATGTCTAGGTCAAAGCGCCGCGGCCGACATAACTGTCAAATGCCTTGCCATGACCCCCTTGGCATAACAATTCGTTGTTATAACAGCCTAAGATGGAGATACTGTATAAGGCACAACACGTGATTTTGCCAGGTCAGCCTTCCTATTGGTCGAATTGGCCAGTGATGCCAAGTGTGGATCCTCCCTATTGGTCGACGAAGAAGGAAAAAGGACAATATGATGCTGTGGTCGCTGGTATTAAGGTCGCAGGACGATATGCGAGGACGCAGGAGGTCAAAGGAGAATAATAAGTCACGCGACTCTCCTCAGCGCCTCCAGTGCCCTTTCCGCCAGGGGGAGGATCCTCGTAAGCCAGCTGGCAATTCAACGCCGTCCATTGGTCGAGAATCCGTGACGTCACATTATGGGCGGAGCTGTGTTAGTTTTAAAGGATCCATAATGGAAGAAGAGTTTAGCTGTAAACATTCACTAACGAAGGAAAGGTATACGCATCTCCTTCTGTGCTTTAGGTAAGAGACGTGGCTTTAGATGGTCTAGCAATTCTCTTGAGTTTGTTCTCAAGTCGTGATATATAGTTTTGTCGTCCTTTTTTGTGATTCTATAGATTCTTTAAGTGTATATGTTTTTTTTTCTATATGAAAGTGAGTCAAGACAATGGTGTCAGTCGATTTTTGTTATTTTTTAAGAATATGATCCTAATGTTTTTGATTTGTAAAAGAAAACTATGAGTGAGCGGGAAGTGATATATGGTGAAGTTTACAACATTAAGTGAAATGTTTTTCTTATTCTTATATAGTTATCAGATTGTGTTTAAATTAGATTAAGTGTTCTATAGGGATATATATGTATATATATATATATATATATATATATATATATATATATATATATATATATATATATATATATATATATATATATATATATATATATATATATATATATATATATATATTTATATATAATCATGAAAATCATATGCCAAATATTTCACAATTCGTAAAATATTTACATATCAGTAATCTTTTCTCCCAATCCCTACTCAGATCACTGTTTTTTGCCATTCATTAACGCTTTTGCATCACGCATTACAAAGCGATCACCTAATGCCACATTTATCTTAACTCCTGAGAAAAAGAGCACTTGAATTCGCCGAGAAAACTTTCCCTCCTAAAATTGCCGTTCGTGACGTCATCACGGAACCGCGAGAACAACTGCCGCCAAAACGAGCGTCCTTCAAAAGCGTCCTGCTCTTTCAGGAAATCGTGTAAGGGCGGAGAGCCGTTGAGAATGTCTCGGACTTTGGACGTTTTGGCTGGAGCGAGCCAGCTTGCTCCTCTTGACCCTCTGTGGTTTGTTGAGAATCAGGTGCGGAGTCAAGACAGTGTTATGGTGTCGCTCTTCTGGGAAAATTGTATCATATTATGCTTTGGTTGAAATGACGTTGATCAGAATAATTTAAATTTAACAAAGAAGTGTTTGAATACTAGATTACATGATATAATTATTTTTATATATGTCAGTACCAGGAATGGACAATAATGGGTTTTAGAGTCTCCTCTTTCTTCTCTTTCTTTGCCTCTGTACCAATTCACCGGTTTTTCTCTCTCTCCTTTCTCTATCTCATATCTTATTCCCTGCGTTCTCCCCCATGTCTCATTCCATTTATCTTTCGCATCCTCCTTTTCCCTCTCTCTCTTACTCTTTCTCTCCATCTCCCATTCTATCTCTTCATTTCCCTTTTCTCATTATCTTCCTCCTCATCCCTCTATTTCTTTTTTTTCACTCTTCCCATCTCTCTTTCTTCGCTCCATCTATCCCATATCTAACCCTCTTTTATATTTCCATTTTTCTGTCTCTCATTCTCATTCCTTCTTTCTTTTTGTATCTTACGTATCCATTAACTTCCCATCTTTCCTTTCCCTCTGTGTCTATTTACCTATTTGCCCCCCCCTCTCTCTCTCTCTCTCTCTCTCTCTCTCTCTCTCTTCTCTCTCTCCTTCACTCCCTCTCTCTCTCTCTCTCTCTCTCTCTCTCTCTCTCTTCTCTCTCTCCTTCACTCCCTCTCTCTCTCTCTCTCTCTCTCTCTCTCTCTCTCTCTCTCTCTCTCTCTCTCTCTCTCTCTCTCTCTTCTCTCTCTCTCTCTCTCTCTCTCTCTCTCTCTCTCTCCCCCCCCCACCCCGAGCGGCACCATGACATCCTCTGTTCGCCCTCCCCAGTTAGGTCTCCCGCTCCGAGTGGACAACACAGACGCAGCGGAATTCGCCACCTCGGTCGTGTTCATCTTCAGAATAGCCATTCAGCTCAGCCAGGTGTTTGCTGCGCGCGAAGCAGAAGCGAAAGGCAGGTAAGAAAACGTTGAACTTATGCGTGTCTTTTTTTCTCTCTTTTCTCTTTTTAGGTTTCGAGAAAAGGAGGCTGGAACGTCGACTTGGATCGAAGAGGGAAGACTGTTTCGGTGGATCGTCGACTTGTTTGTTGTGAAGCTTAGCGTAACTTAATAGAAAAAAAGGAAAGAGAAAGGACAAATATAGAATTGATATCGAGGGATATAATCTTCAACGACTCGTAAGCGTGTGAATCTCCCACCATGACGACCTCACGACCTTTCATGCTCTTTGACTTTTACGTGAACACGCCTATCGTGGGTTCGAATGCCTCGAGGCCTTTGGGCAGTTCCGGGTTTCTCATTGTCGGCGCAGTCTTTCTGGACAGCATATTCGGCGTCCCTCCCGAGCTCGAACAAGCCAGCCAAGACCCAGATTATAATTACGACTACGGTGACTACCAAACGCGGTACGACACGGACTATCAAGCGGGTTACAACGGCTATCCGTCTGGCTACAATGGCTATTATTACGGCTACAACGACTACCAGCCCGTCGGCTATCAGGATTATTACTACCCATCTGGAGAGTCGTCGTATTCCCACCTGGGGGCAGCTGGTGCCAGACCTGGGGAGCCCTGGACGGAACCGAGACCCCACGTCGTTCTGGGGGAGGCCAGGTACCGGCGCCGCTTATGACGTCATAGGCTCGCAAGTGACGAAGTTGTGACGTCACATTCAACCTAATATCTTAATGACTGTACTGTTACTTTGAAGAGTTTTCATTTGTTACATATATTATGATACTTTTACTTTAAAGTCATTTACTGCATTAAAAAAGGAAAAAAAAAATGTTATTTACGAGTGCAAACAATTCATGTTTCAATATAGATGATATTACGCACTACATATATCCAGAAAAAATGATAAAGTAACAAACACCCCTACAATAATAATAAACATAACCAGTCGTCCAAACAACCCCTTCCTCTAAAAAAAGAGAAAATATAAAGTAAATGAAACAACAAAAAACTCCCTTATCTAACTCATCCTTAAAATCAACTCCACCATCCCCACCCCTTCCCCTTCCTGCAGGAGCCTCGCCGAGGACCAGATGACCATCTACCAGCAGCTGCAGTCGTCCCTCTCTGCCGTGGGCGTGGACGGGCGCTCCTGCCTCCTCAGGTTCATCTGCGAGGCCCAGCACCGTCGGATGCAGCGCCTCAACCTGCTCGGACAGATGTTGGCGACGCTGCTCACGTGAGTTGTGGGTGTGAGTCTGTGTGGGGAGGTGGTGTGTGTGTGTGTGTGTGTATGTACGTGTGTTTGTTTGTTTGTGTGTGTAGTGTATGTGTGTGTAGTGTATGTGAGTGTGTGTGTGTGTTTTATCTGTTAATTCTTGTTTTTGCTTCATTTGGTGTAATACTGAAAGGGATATAAAGAAGCGGAAGTAAGAACACAAATACTCATCCTTCACCTCCCCTCCCCCCTCACCCTTTTCCCTACCCCCCCCCCCACACACACACACACAGCCCGAAAGAAGACGATTTCCTCTCGTCATACGCGGAAGCTGCGGCGGCGGGTCGCGAGGGGACGTGCCTGGAGAACTACTCCGAATGCCCCGTGTCCCTCTTCACCCTCATGGACGCCCCTTCGTCCAAGTCTCCGAAAGGCAAGAGGAGGAGGAACAAACTCCCTGGTGTGGGGAAGACGTCGAGATCCTCACGAACGATGTCGGCGGGAGAGACTGAGGACATGGCGGAGACTGTCGAGGTCGAGGAGTAGGGGGCGAGAAGACAGTTTACCGGAGTTACCCCTCGAATCCTGTTTTTTTTTTTCTGTTACTGGTTCTTGTATTTATTTATTGTCGTTATTTATTTATTTATTTCGTATTGTAGAGTATTCTGTATCTTTCCTTCAAGATTTTTTCTTTCTTTTTTCACACTTTCGATCCACCTATCGTTCTTATTTATTCCCATTTCCCTGTCAAGAGTGTTATATTATGTACATTCTCGTAGATCATCTATGAAGTGGTATGAAGTCTAAATAGACCATATATCACTCGATACATTATGTTTCTTATACATCTCGTGACTTTCGAAGACTTTGCCAACATGACTTTTACGCAGACACAAAACTCTCTCAGATCTAATGACATGTAATTAAGCACAGAATCTCTCGTAGACATTTAGTAACTGACAGACACTTTTTTTTCCACAAAGACTCATTTGCTCAAGAAGACTTGGTCACTCAAAAAGACTTTGTTTCTTACAGAGGCTTGTTTGCTCAATAGGATACCTGTGCTTTTGAATACTTACAGACGAGGTTTCCGGAAAAGACTTCTCTCAGTGTTAATTCATACTCGTTCAATGACAGACACTGACTTGTATACTGATTAGGTACACACGCAGACATTCATATCGACATACGCAGTTATCCGAATTCAATGCCACACAATTAGACACATAGA